TTTTGTTTTTTTAACATCAAAAAGTAGTGACGAAGTTGCAGAAGCATTTAAGAGTATATATGATAATCCTGATAATCCCCTCAACTGGCCTCAAAAACTACAATGTGATAAGGGCACTGAGTTTATGGGATATATGACTTTATTAATATATGAACATGGTGTTGAAATTCGAAGAATTATAGCACGTTTCAGATATACAAGCTTGGCTATAGTCGACTGTTATGCTGGATTATTCGAATTAAGAGTTTTTAAAAATCAGTATGTGATAGAATTTCTCTTACCTACTGGTGAATGCTGTAGAGAGTGTAAGCAATTTGCATGGAAAATTGTTGATAATATGAATGATATTCTAACCCGATTAATTGGAATGAGCCCTAATAGTGCTATAAAGCTTGAACGAGTGTATTTCAAGCCATCAACAAAGTATTATCGTCCAGTAGGTGCTGATGAGCCACAATTACCAAAGAGAACTATCAGTCGGATGACATGTCATAGATGATCATCATATATTTGCATGCTTATAAAAAAAAATTGATTTACATATCAAATTTACTAGTAAAAATTCATAAAACGTGTGATTTTTTTGAATTTGTGGGCTACTGAAATGTTGTACATGGTTCTTTTTTAGATATAACATTTCTGTAGTTTTCTACGAAACGGCCATATAATTTTTGTCTATAGTTAAAAACAAAGTTGAAAATAATCTTGAGCCCGAAGTTGGTGTTTGAATACGAATTATACTAATACTTTTTATATTCTGCCGCACCTTTTACAGATCGTTGATAAGGTTTTTAAACACGTTTATTATTGCCTTGCCGCAAGTATGTGAAGCAACGAGATTTTGGACTTTTGTTAGCTTTAAAGTATTCCTGAATACTTATAACGAGAAGCACTGTACCTATTTAGATCGGCTAATCTTCAAGGCTTTTGGAACATTGTATGCCTGAAGTTTGTGTTTGAATACGAATTATACTAATATTTTTTATATTCTGCTGCACCTTTTACAGATCGTTGATAAGGTTTTCGAACACGTTCATTATTGTCTTGCTGCAAGTACGTGAAGCAACGAGATTTTGGACTTTTATTGAGCTTTAAAGTATTCCTGAATACTTACAACGAAAAGCACTGCACCTGGTTATATTTCACTTTAGATTTCTTCAAGGCTTTTGGAAATATGTATATTAATCATATAGGGTATAAAATTATGGAGGTCTACCGGTCAGCACCTTATGATATGTATGGTTCGAGTACTAGTATTTATTAATCTATTAATTTCTTTAGGTCTAGCGAAAATCTTTGAAAGAGGCATTTGTATAAAAATTTTTTGAATTTTGGTTCTTGTGACAGCGATTCGTTTGGGCCAGATTCTTATAATTTTAATGTTAAGATTATTTATTTTATTTTTTTACTATGTATATATATTATTCGTTCGACTTTATTTTTGTAATTAATAAAACATTAAATAAAATATGACCTCTTATTGTTATATTTTTTTTTGAATTAATAAATTATTAAACATTTAATTTTAATGCACAGTGTCATTCTATAATTAATGACTAAATAAAGGTGAATGTATTATAAAATTATTTCGGCTGATGTTTCTAAATAAAATTTTAAGTTTTTTTCATTCGTATCTGAAAAGTTTGATAAAAATAGTTCCAAATGTTATTGTTGGTAATTTTACTACCATTAGAAAAAAAAAAATTAATAGAAGTCTCAATGAATAAGTATCCATTGAGTTCCGTTAACCCATTGACTTCGTTGAAATTCTTCATTGACCTATTCATTGATTTCATTGAAATTCTTCATTGACCCATTAACTTCATTGAAATTCTTCATTGATCTATTGACTTCGTTGAAATTCTTCGTTGAAATTTTTCATTGACCTATTTATTGATTTCATTGAAATTCTTCATTGACTCATTGACTTCGTTGAAATTTTTTATTGATCCATTGACTTCGTTGAAATTCTTCATTGAGTTCTATTGACCCATTTACTTCGTTGAAATTCTTTATCGGGTTATTTCCAACTCTATGCATAATTGGAAACTTAACTTCTTTGGCAAATACACTATTGAATCCTTTTTTTCAAAGATACTGCAATTCTCTTAAATCAATAAAAGGTGCCATTTTTTCCCAATTTTGATTTTAACAAATTAATAACAAACAAATTAATAAAAAAACACT